TGTGTGTGTGTGTGTGTGTGTGTGTGTGTATGTGTACAAATATATAGTAATGCCTGGAGGCGATATTAAAAGAACAATCAGAACTCGAGTAGCTTTTATCTCACTTCCTGTTCCTCAATTTTTTCCTCCTCCCTCAATCTATCTCTTCTACTTCTTATCGCTATTTTAGGCCTACTTTTCTTTTTTATTGATGTAAAATGCGGGGGAGAAGTAATAGCATCAGAAGAGAAAGAAAGAAAGAAAGAAAGAAAGAGAGAGAGAGAGAGAGAGTGAGTAATGATTAACTAGTAAATAAGTAAGTAAGTATGTCTCTAGCTTGCATCTTTTTCATAATTAAGTTCCTATCTTCGAAAAGAAAGGCAAAAAAAAAGGTGAGCAAGAAAAGAAATGAACAAAAAGTTAGATAGATATGAATGTCAGGAAAAAAAAAAAGGTGACAAGCAAGCATAAATTCAAAACCTTTAGGCTTAGCAAATATATAAACTAGTTTTATGAATCTTTCTTCTTGTTTTCTCTCTCTCTCTCTCTCTCTTTTTCTCTCTTTCTCTCTCTTTCTCCCTCTCTTCCTTCTCCTCCTTCTCCTTTTTTTCTTCATTCCATTTTCTTAACCTTCATGATGATGGGCCTTTTCTCAATAATATGGCAAAACCTTTTTTTTTTTTTTTCTTTTTTAGTAAATCGATTTCTCTCATCCTTTTTCCTTTTTCTCAATCTCTTCAAATTTTTAGCTGTTAGATAATGAAAGAAGATGTGAAGGAAGGAGGAATGAGGAGGAAGGAATGAGGAGGAAAAATATGCTAAAATTTTCAATCTATTCATTCCATGAATGACATTTTCTTGATCCATTCCATTCAAAATGAATACTTCCGCAGCAAATTACATCAAAGAGGAAAAGCATGAAAAATGAAAAATGAAGAAAAAGGAAGAAAAAAAAAAAAGGAAAGAAAGGAAAGAAATGATAGTGATAAATGATTCATTAAAATATCCATTCATATTTTCATCACATTTGACAGAATGATTGAATTGAATAAAAAAAAAAAAGAAAAATTAACTATTTCTCAGCTGACTTTTGTTTCTTCCGCCTAAATGAAATGATAAAAGTGACATTTGAAAAAAAAAAAAATTTTTTAATAATTAACAAACGATATGTGATATGAATTTGCAAAAACGAAAAACAATTTTATGATTAAAATATGGAGTTAAAAAAAAAAAGTTAATGTGTTTGCGGAAAAAAAAAAAAAGAAAAAAAAACTCATAAATTGTTCAAATGTAACATTGAAATATTTCGGTGAACATTTTTATAAAAGCCGTAATTCGAAATTTTTTGAATTGTTTTTTTCACCAAATTTCATTTATTGCTACTGCTGCATGCATCTTCAAAAAATTTTTCCGCTCTGTTATTTATTAGTGTTTGCAATTTTAATATGACAGTAATTCACAATTGATGAAAAAATTTTTTATTTTCTAAATTTCACAATACATCATCACTCACTATGTATGTAATTTTTGATAAGCTATCATAACGAAATTTCCAGTGATAATTTTTTTTTTTTGCTGCACCGAGAAATTTCATAATATATATTCTTTTTTAAAAAAAATTTTATCACATCGGGAAATTTCATCACTGTTTCATCATATTAAATTGCAAAATTATTGTGTAATTAATGGCTTGAATAGGTGGAAGGAATTTTTGAAGTATTATGTTAACATTTGATAATCACATTAGCTTATCAATTTACTTGCCATTCATGTTCAAGTTTGTGTCGTTTAAAGAATTTATGCAATTTTTAAATAAAACAATCATCTAAATTGCAATAAAGAAAGTCAAAAAGGATACCTGAAAAAAAAAAGCTATGAAATTTCAATTGCTAAATATATAATTTAACTGAATTAACGAAACGAATCAAAATTTATTGAATGATTAATTTGAAAATTTAGTTCAATTGATTAAATGTTGAGCGGGAAATTTTCTACTATGCTAGAAAATTCGATATTAGGCAACATCAACCGTTATTGGTTTAGCTATTTGTTTTTTCAAAAAATTGATGAAAAAATAGAGAAAAAATGCAAAATTTTAAAATTATTTCAGATTTCTTTTTTCAATTAAACACAACTTTATTGTTTGTAAATTTGCTCAAATAAGTTGAAATGAGTTGGATCAATTCGAATTTAAACGAATTATGCTGAGTAATGCACTATTTAAGCAAAATTTTTTTTTCATCTTTCGTTTTGAATTTGTGATTAAAATTTTTTTTTTTGAAACTTTGCCTAATAATTAAATTAAAAGATTTTAGCGAGAAAAAATTTTGTCAGAAATTCAATTGAATTATATGCGGGATAGTGAAAATTATCATTTTACATTATAAGCATATTAGTTTTCTCTAT